TCGCCACCCATAGTGCATTTGATATTGATTTGCTTAACTGATAATGGTTTTCTTTCTTTGTCTGTGTACTATAAATCATGACGAACATCCGTCAAATGCAATACATAAAAACATCGATAAAAATCAGAAATAATTTCAGTTGACATTCATTCTAGAATAATATAGTATTTCAAAGTAAATGGTATTTATGGATAAACAAATTTCAGCATGCATTCTTTCATTACCAACTGAATTAGTATATATGATTCTCGATAATCTGGATGATTTTACAATATTATGTTCAATTCGTAATGTCTGTACACAACTAGATCATATCATAGATACATATCCTCGATATCAGGTAAAATTCACTATTCTCATGAAGTTAGACTTCTTTTTTGGATCTGCAATAGTACAACTTAGTTTAATAATAATCTTTTAAATTGATTGAATACCAATCAAAACAGGACTCATGACATTTTTTTTTGCAAGCTATTTCACAAGATTATAGTTTCAGTTGTTATTCATTATCTCAAATTGTACGTTTCTTTATGCGACGATTTTACATCAAAGTATTTGAGTCAAACACATTACGATTTATTTTGCTTATGCATATCAATAGTATTTTGAATCACGTTCATACCTCATAATGTTAAGAACAAAAATTGAAAAAAGAAATATGAAAAAAAAACATTGAGAAAACCAATTTCGCTGAAACTATTGTCACAGACTATGCTTTCCTTTCAATCTTAGAGCCTTGTTTATTTTTGGACAGTTTGCAATGATATAAAACTTTTTTTAAACTCGTGTATATACTGTCTCAAACACTTATATAATGTAGACAGAACGTCTCACTCATATCTCCATCGGACATTTTACTTTTTCACATACAGACAACAGTCACCACAGAAGATCTCTACGGGAATCAGAGCAAGCACAAAGAAAGACAATTTATAGTTGGTAGACTACACAATAACGCGATGAGATTTAATCTCTTTTTATCCATCATATATCCGTCTTTTATTTTTTATTTTTATTTAGACACTCACCACACTTAAGTTTCGTAGCAAACACATCGGAGCACTTGAAGCACAACATTTGGCTAATGCAGTACGAAATAATCATGTGAGAGCTCTTCTGTTCTTATCTGTGATATATACACCCACTAGTTTTTCATATATAGATACTCGTCACACTAGATGTCGACTACAATTCAATCGAAGACAACGGAGCAGATTATATAGCTGATGCATTACGAAATAACACTGTAATACTCATATCTTCTCTATTTATCATATATCAATATGCTATTCTTTTACTTAGACACTAACCACACTAAATTTACATGGTCATCCCATCGCATCACTTCAAACTCAACAGTTGGCTGATGCATTACGAAATAACACGGTGAGAGTCATTCTCTAATTATTTGTCAGGTATACACATTGCCTATTTTTTCATTTAGACACTCACCACTAGGGGTGGGAAGTTACCGTTACCGTTCCCAGGTAACGGTAACGGGGAGTTACCAGTTTCCGGGGAACGGGGGAACGAGCCTATTATAAGGGGTACCCTTAGGTCCTCAAGTCCCATACTATGGGTATCCTTAGGTCCTCAAGTCTTTTACTGCGGGGATATCCTTAGGTCACTAAGTCCTCTTATTGGGGGGTACCCCTGGGGTCCTCAAGTCCCATACTATAGGGGTACCCCTGGGTCCTCAAGTCCCATACTATAGGGGTACCCTTGGGTCGTCAAGTCCTATAGTACGGGAGTACGCTCAGGTCCTCAAGTCCTATTACTTTGGGGACACCCTTGGGTCCTCAAGTCCTACTATCAGGGAGTACCCCTGGGCCGTCAAGTCCTACTATTGGGAAATACCCTGGGGTCCTCAACTCATATTATTGAGGAGTACCCTTGGGTCCTCAAGTCCTATTATTGGAGGATGCTCTTGGGTTCTCGAGTCCTATTATTGGGAAGTACCCTTGGATCCTCAAGCACTAATGCCAAAGCTGTATTTTCGCCGTGTTGCATTGAGTAGGAGCCCATACATACATCCATCAATCGATAGAGCACCCTCGATAACCCTATGATTGGCCCGAACATGGCTATGTGTTGTCCTT